CATGCCTATGCATGCCTCACGGGGCTTCGTGAAATATACACTTATTATTATTATTATTATTATTTTCCCCCGACTAACCAGTGGTTCTTCCTGACTCATACTGGGCGATCGAGCAACACGGAATATTTAGAGATCGGATCGTTATTGCGCATCTTGATATCGTAAGTCTCCTTTCTCTAAAGACAGCTGGAGTTTAGCATTTGTAGCGAACAGTTTTAACTCGTGAACAGAAGTTAAAGATTCTACACTACCATTGTCCAAAATAAAATGAAGAGAGTTACCAGTGGAACTGAATAGTTGTTTACGAATGTGATCGGAATGTGAGGTAATCGCCAAAGATAAAGAAGAAAAATTTTGTCTATGTCACTCGCCTCTGTGTCAGTGGATTGAATTAAACGACAGGTTTTGATACTGCGACACAGACTGAATATGATCAGTTTACCACACTTGTGACATGAAGCGTAACGAAATCAACAGGTGAATCTGAAATGACGTTTGCCACAGGATGCACAAAGTCATAGGATTTATCCGAATATGTCACATCGTGTGAGCTAGATTGTTTAATTGGTTTGAAACGTCCAGTTATGGCATAAAATTTTGTGGATTTAGTTTTAATTGAATTCAACATGGCTGTAGATTCAATGGTCGACGACATGGAGGAAGTAGCGGGGGAATGTCCTGATATTGTTCACAATGATCCGCACATCTTTGAACGTGGTATTGTTATGCCAACGATCAGCCGATCTCTCAACTGCCTGTCCAGTAAGTCTCCAAAGTCACACTTTGCAGCTTGAGTGAGCAAATTCAGGATGAATTCACGGATGCCCTGATTCGGATTGCGTATCACTGAATGAAATGTTGCCCTCTCTGAGGCTTCGAATATTTTCGGCTTCATTTGTTGTAGGTGGAGGGATTTTAAATCCTCATACGGTATAGAAACACGTGTGGAAGGATACGCCAAGTTTTTGATTAGTGTATAAGCATTTTTTCCGGCAGCATTCAGAAAGAAAGCGGGTTTCTTTTCCTCATCAGGTTTCGAAAGAGTCAACCACCAGATTTCAAAACGTCCAAAATAATCCTCAATATCGCGGGCACTGCAGTTAATATCTAGGGATTCTAGTGGAGAATTCATTGTTAAGTAGATCGGCCGCGAAGCCAAATATAGTATTGTGAATAGTATCCGGAATGGAGCTCCGAAGTAGAACAACTTCGAATCAAATAGCACACGTACTTTAATCAGATTGTATACTATGCATATGCAATACATACAATTTTTCGAGGTTAGTGTCACACACCACACTCGACCACGCGCGACTTTTCCTTTGAAGGAGAGTTGAGGGGGCGGTAACTGTCTAAATGAGGACGGCCAAATGCGTCGGACACTGTCGAACGACCCGTTAGGGAGGTGCCAGACGGCGATGGAGACCCGTATTGCACGGCATGCTAGGAGGCTCTACACCTTGTCCTTGCCTTAAGTGTCGTGGGTGTTATAAAAGAGCAGTCCATAATAAAGTTCTGAAAAACTGTTTATAACATGTGCAAGGTAAACTGGTCCTTATTCAGTATAGTTGAAAGAAAAGAATCTTCACGTGTTACATCTTCAGAGCAGCGTGTTGAGCTCTGAAAAAAAGACTCTTGAAAACAAATGACACAGAAAACGTTGGAAAAAGAGGCTTCAAGTACGAGGAACGGCAGGAACACGAAAAAGAAAAAAAGCATTTCTTTGGAATTTCAGGTTTTGATCTCTGTTTTAGGTTTACAAAACTCGTTAGGACGACAAAAACGGTGAAAAAGGTAATGGAAAACTGGTATGAATCGCCTGGTCGCCTTGGTCACTATTCAGTTGATTGAGAGGGAAAAAGAACTCTGTGACCTTACCTCGTGGAAGTGTTCGTGTACGTCAACCAATTCGCACTTGAGAGACGCGTAGCCGAACCGATACGAATCCCGAATTAAAAACACAATTGATCCGCAATGTTCTACGGTACTGCATTAACGAAATTATTACAATATGTACAATAAAGGAAACCTCAAATATGCGGCCAAAAGCACTGAAACAAGCGAGCCAAATAAGATGTCCAGAGAGAGGCAAACAGTCGCTCCCGTTCTCAAACCACGCAAAATTCAAACGTGCCGGGCATAGAGTTAACAGATAAATATTGATGTGTGGTGTTCATGATCTTGAAATGTCAATATAAGAGCAACACACAGATAGAGTTATTCACCATAAATCCCTATGGGTTCGGACGGATTTTCAAAAAATTCAGTAGGAAATACACCGACCTCCAGAATCCTTCCTGCGCTTGTCTGAGTCAGAGGGTTGGCGCAGGTCATTGATTCTTGTCTACCTATCTGCTCACCTAGTCCCTGTTGTCAGTGCTTCTACCTACGAGCTGTTCAGCTTTCGCCGCATTCGTTGGTCTTGACTTCTGGCGACTTGCACATTGTCATGGT